GGCGACGCTGCAGTGCGTGAAGGTGCTCGGCCTATGTTTGCACGCTAGCAAGAATCTCGATGAGGACGCACTGTATCTGGCCTTGAGGACGGTGGATCAGATCGAGGAGGCGACAGTAGTAGGTAAGACCGCTGGCTGGGAATGTTTCTTTAGCTAAATTTGATTTGAGGATGTAGGATTTAGAATTGATTTAGGGATTGAACCTAAAGGATTGAATCTCGAGCTCTGATACCATGTTAAGTTGGTATTGAAGAGAACTAGCAATTGATGATCAGATTTACAGGTTTATATATACACACACCTACCAGACAACCCATCAATCAGTAGCCCACACTAGGAGGCGGCTATAGATACATAAAAGGTGACTACACATACATATAGGGTGGCTGTAATATCTAATCAATAGGGTGGCTCATGATATTATCTAACACGATTGACAAAGCCGAGTTTGTTCTTTGCCGTCAAAGCCATGATCATGGCACGACTCTGTATCAGATAATTTTCGCTTGTAAGGAGTTGGCTGACAAGCACAGTGCCAGGGTTATCTGATACCATGAAAGAAATTGTAATTTGTAGTGCAGTTCTTATGTATTCATTCACTGTAAACGAGCTCAATATATAGAATTCACAATCTGTTGAGAAACCTGAGTTACAGGAGTTAAAAGAGGGAATTTACAACTGCATATCATAACGAAGTTGATTTGAATCAAGACTCCTGCCAAATAGGGGATTTGATCTTTGTATAACAAACTAATTTGAATTTGAATCCGGTTTGTTACCAAATCCTTTAGATTTGATACCGTCAACAAAAACCCTCTCTTAAATTCATAAACTTACGTGGCTCGCTTACATATTAAAAAAGGAAGCTTCTCGTGCGCACAAGGCCTGCACAGCAGAATGAGCCTGCTGCAAGTACACCGGCCTCAAAATTGATCGGAGCAAAGTACGATTGCTTGGGCTTTTCAATCTCCTGTCCGTGCCCCCCGGATGCAATGAAACCCAACAAATACAGGGCATACCGACCAACTGTTTCTTGCTGATAATGCAATGAAGTTTTCTTGTTCTAGATATCCACGTCACAGAATGTTCCCTGTGATAGACAATTCCCTCGCACGACATCGACGTGAAGAATCATGGTAACACCTAATTGTAAGTGTCGCAGCATTTATTTTTACAGGCTCTTCAACCACGAGTGGCGGTATGGAACATGAAAATATCTTTTCCACAAAAAAACATGGCAGCGGCTGAGTTTTAAAAACATAAAAGAACATGCGTATATTAACCACACAACAAAATACACTACCCAGGAACAAGGAGTTGGAAGCAAGTGGTTCAATAAGTGGTACAAATCGCACAAGATGAAATAATTTATGCGCCCTTTATTCATGCTAACCAGTCGTTACTTCAAATCCACACGTTCTGCCTTGTGGGTATATAATTAATAGATAAAGTTCACTAGTAAGTAGAAAAAAAATGAGCTCTGTTTCTAAGGTACGCCCGTTTTTGCAGGGAGCATTAAGGGATTCAGAATACTTGAAGACACAGCGCAAATCTGTTCTGTAGCCAAAAATAATACAATCCCGTAAGAATTTACATAAAAAGGAATTAACAGCTTACTTCAAAATGTCATCTGTGTCAAAATAGAATTGCAGTCATTTGCTCCAAAATTTTCTGAACACCATCTCTTAGAAAATGCTGTGACAGTGCCGTTATTCTTCACATGGAAATATGCAGCGTACAAATCCTCTCCATTTCCGTATTTCAATGGGAAATTGCCATTGATAGCTGAAGGCTTCTCCTTCTTGACTTTACACCCGGAATTTAGAGACGATGATCCTCACCAGTCCTCAAGCCACTCTGGGGAATTTAGTTCGGATAAATCTTGAGATGGAGAGGAAACACATACAGTCATATCCTCTGTATAATTTTCCAGGTAAGTCATATCCTCTGTATAATTTTCCAGGTAAGTATCCAACCGTGATGTGATTTCACTAGGAACTGGAAAGGTTCCATCTTTGATCCCTTCCCAATCTAAACCGTTAAACCATGAGTGGGCTTTGAGGGGCTCAGGGCCCTCGCTTCCCAGTCGTCGTATCTCATCAACTTCTAGTAACTAGAAAAAGTGATAAATATAAGAAGAAGAAAAAGTTAAGTTTGTGAACAAAGAGGACTCTTTCAATCAAGGACTAATTACAAAATGAATAAAAACCTTTGTAATGAGGTCAACTACTTCTACACTAAAGGTCTGTGGAAGAGTTAGCTGTCCTTTGGCAATCTTTGCAAATGTGTCCAGTTCACTTTCTCTCCAGGACCCAAATGGCATTTCAGCTTGAAGCATGAAATAGATCAGCACCCCCAATGACCACCTGATTATGAACAATAAATTGAATAACCTGTAAATTATACTTGAGCCAGATACTCCTATTTTTAGGGATATCTACATATTTGAAGTGCATTGAAACATATTCAATGTACATATAATCCAGAACTCATTCCATGTCTTATAAATTTATTTCTTGTGGCAATGAAATTCTGCGTCCAACTGCATGCTCCATAAGGTTAGTTTCACCGTGAAACTCATCTACATTTTTTACATTCCCTTCTCTGAAGATCGTCTGAAATAGAAATTTCGACTGACAATGAAAAGAGGACAAAGATTACAGAAATTTATGCATGTTACCCCAATTATTTACTTTGACTATCACTATCAGCATGAGAACATAACAAATTTTGATATTGTTATAAATTCCACAATATTTTGCGAGAAAACATACCAGTCAGAAGCAAATCCATGTCCTTTTCCCAGTACTATCTCTGGAGCTAAAGAATCTGCAATCCCACATATAGTGAAAGTTCTGTCTTCTGTTAGCTTTTCCCCAAATCTGAAGTCCACTAGCTACAACACATAAAGACATATGGTCAGAGTTATACAATATAATAGTGAAGAATATGCCACTGAACTATATTCTGGATTCACCTGTGGGTATCCTGTGCGATCAAGCAATAGAACATCAGGTGAAACCCCTCTATAAAGAATGTTATTCTGAATTTAAAAACAAAATTTACTTAGCGAGTTATACAAGACAAATATCAATAACAATTCATAGAGCCTAAATAAAACTTAACCTTGTGTAGCTCTTCTAAAGCAACAATGACTGAAGCTGCAAAAAACTGAGCAGAGGATTCATCTAGAGGAGTATGAAGAACAGAAGTCAACGGGCAAGTCAGACAGCAGTTGAGCAAAATCCCAACATGAGATTGATCAGCACAAGTACATAGTACTCGTGGAAGACAAGCTGATGGGACTAGGCTCTTCATAATATCTCTCTCCTTCATGACTTGTGCTTCTTTTCCAAGCTCTTTGATTTTCTTCTTAGAAAACCTCTTTAGGCTTCTAATACTATCTGAAATCGGCCATAGAGCGAGTACTCTATGAGCAATTACCCATCGAAAACATGAACTTTTGAACTTGGTAATTAAGAGCAATGTAAACAAACCTGAACCTGTCATATATACAAGACCTATTTCACTGCAATCAGTCGCATATATAGACGTCTTCCATTCCTGAGAAGTTTCAAATTAGCAAAAATTTCAGGAAAGACCTCATACACAAAATAACTTTAAAACAATAAATAAACGTACTAACCCCATACCAAATCTGACAACTGAATCTTTGTGTCTGATGGAGCTTCATTCTTTAATGTGAAATCTTTAGAAGAATTGAGGGAATCTTTCAGCCTGAACCAGAATTGAGTTTAGTTCACTGGGAAATACGAAAGAATGTCACTAATTAAAACAATATTAAACCATACTTGCGATCTTCTGGTAGAAGTTTGGGTAGAGGTCCAACTGTTAAATCAAATTTCTCCTTTGTCACAACGGTACATACCACTTCACCAATTGAGACTACAGTTAAGAAACCAACAGATTCTCCAAGAAGAGCCCATTCCCCAAAATGGCTTCCTTCTGAGACCTCCACGATATACTCACCTACATTTTGACTGTGATCTCCTGTTTGAAGATGAGTAGAAAGGAGACTCAAGGAATTTTCACTTAGTTGATCTGGGTTGTACGTAAGCCTGACCCGACCTTTCTGAATTATGTACAATGCAGAAAGACAATCATTCTGCAGAACGCAAAAAGAATAATTAAGAAAATTGATAATGAAAAATTATGCACAATGCTTCATTAACCTAGTTGAGGCGTGCTAGATGCTGCTTTGGTACTCAAATGATGACTTTATATAGATAAAATCACTGAGCTTTTTTCACGTGAAAGCAAAAATTAAAGTTTTGAACAATCTCTTGGCAAGTTATTTATCTAGTTTCTATAGATTTGAATGAACCTCTACATTTTGTTTTGAAAAAATATTTACAAAAGGTTTGTAAAAACCACCTCATGTACTATTGTTTGTCCATCTGAAAAAGATACTTCAACAAGAGATCCAGCAATATGGCTCAGCTGTAAGATACTTAATCTTGAGAAAATGTCTACTGATCGAAGCATCTTTAAGGATGATAAGTTTGAAAATTCAGACATAAGAATTCCCCTAAAGTCTTCTCTCTTTAACGTCCAGAGGGTTCCAGCAGTGACTGCACGAACTGATGCCTGAAGTGGCTTGTTATACCTGGTTTTTAACATCAACAAACTGATTGTTAATAAAAGGATGTCATAGTCGAGGGCATAGAAGATACTGTCATTTTCTTACTACTATTAAATTAAGAAAATTAAGCTAAGATACATGGAAAACAATAAGTTTCTAATGCAATGCTTATATCCAAAAGAACATGCAATATTAAAATTTCACATCCTCATATACTGTGAATCGTAAATAGCATATATCAAGAGCTCAGAATTGAAGTAGCTCACATAAGTGCCAGCTCTCCAAAGGACGAAAGCTTTTCAGCTGTATATCGGTGCAGAACTTTCATGACCTTTTCCTTCCCTTGCTCCTCCTGCTTGCCACATTCCTTTAAAGTTTAGTCTTGTATGCTAGATTGTGCAAATTGACAATTTAGAATGATATGAACACAGAACAGTATTAGCCAGTGGCAATTTGATAACTAGAGGCCACACAATCATCATATTAGAAATGACAGGCCTCATACACTACAACACCAAATGAGAACAAGATTCAGAGGAGCAGGTCTTTCAAGACAATAACTACAAAAATTCTTATCCCATAAAACTAAACAAAATGATAGGATCATATATGGGGTCCTGTAGCGAAATTCATAAATAATAATCTTAAAACTATTGAGTAGCAATTTAAGCCAGAGCTCTTCTACAATCATATAAAGGGATCTACAATAATAGTACTGAGAATGATATCAAAATTAGTCACCACCACATTTAAGTGACATGTACGAGAGACTCATACATAAACAAAGGTGTGCGCACACATAACTAATACCCAGAACAATCTTAAATTATCAAATGCAGCATTTAAATCACATGACAGAGATACCAGCTAGGCTAAAGTCAGAAAGACAATGTATGAACTAAATGGCACCTGAGTAGCTAGGACTTCAAATTCTCCATTTCCGACAACGTAAAAGCAGTCACCTTCTCCTCCCTATATTCAGAATTTACCATCCATTAGTCCTAAATCTGAGAATTCATAATATGCTCATATTCATATTCTTCTCAACTCAATTCTCTTATCAAATACACATTAGCTTTGAACAAAAACAAGAAATAACCTGTTGAACAACTACATCACCAGGTTTAACTTCAACTCTTTGCATGCAATCCAGCAAAACATGGCACTGAGAATCTGTAAGCCTTCGGAAAAGGAAATGATCATGCAATACTCGTTCAATATGTGCCTAAAAAACAGAAAAATAGATATGAAAACAATTGGTAAATTGGTCACTTAATATGAACAATCTCAATCTTCTAAATACTACAATTCACATAGCTACTTAAATTACTTCTTCTTCCCATGTCTTCCTATGTGAAGGAGAAGGAGGAACCCAAGCGTGACCATTCTCAAGAGAACTCTCAATGGCTTTCAATCTTGCCCTTGACAAATCATGTCTTACACGATGAATCCTGGAGTTGTCCTTTACATTGGAAGGGGAATCGGTTTTGATCACTTCGATAATTTGTTGCAAAGGTCTCGTTGGCATTTTCAATACGGCTTGACCAGTTCCCATCTAGCAAAAATATACCATTATATTAAGGAAAAAAGAAGACGTTGTGCAACGATAGGAGTGCCAAACAAACACACGAAGAGTGTGCATGAGAGTGGGAGGGAACTCATACTTCAGTAATTCCATCAATATGCACAACAATGATAGTAATGTCATCAGTACGTGTTTCATACTGTAGCCAAAGTCTATATGATTCAGCAACAACTGCAGCACACGCATCACGAGGATCCTTAAATTTCGAAACCTGTACACGTTCAAGAAGCAAACTTAGATGGTAAAAGAGATGAAGAACGCAAACATAGAGATGCGAAGGTTCTACTGTCAAACTGCAGGTATTTTGTTAAAGGCTAGTGTTCTCATAGGTACGTATATAAGTCAAATATGTCACAGCAAAGTTCCCAGGGCACTAACATATTAAATGTACATTCCAAAAGGCTCGAATTTGTAAGTTTTAAGTGTTTATTCAATCAATATATATTATATAACAAGCATGAATATCAGGGAAAGGAACGAGCGAAAAGATAACCCCCAATTCTCTCACACTGAGTTTTTCTACCCTCACACTTAATGGTTTTAGTTTTTAATGGAAAATATTGCAAACCTATAGGAAATTATTGTTAAATTGGAAGGGTAGAAAAATCAATGTGAGAGAAAGGAGGGTAATTTTGCAAATACCAAGATTTGAGGGGTAAATTTGCAAATATGGAAGATTTGAGGGTATTTATATGTAAAAGGAACTGAATACAAAGAAATTATATGTTTTCTAGTCTTTTGTTTTAGGTAATTGTTTCATATTTCGACTGGCATCACATATGAGACAGCCGCCCCTATATACTTCTCCATGATATTATCTTTATGCTAATAGGGATTCATATATAGTCGGTATATTATACAAATTCTTAATAGAATCAGCAGATCCTTAAAAAAAGTTTTTGAGGGAAGGGCAGATCCTTAAAATTGGAAACCACTCAAAAAAAGTAATAGCAAATTTACCAACTATTGTTTGACCTACATAACCATTTGTTTTACTATTAACAACTACAGCCAGGTAAATGCTCAGAATAACCATAGTTCTATATGGCACGATTATGAGAAGAATATAAATTTATTAAACAGAATGCAAGAGAAAGAAAGTACCATATCTACCACACTCTGGCTTGAGAGAAACTCAAACACTCCGTCACTAGCAATCACAAAGAATGGGTGATAAGGAGTAAGCTCCATGACAAATATCTCAGGTGTTGCCACAACACCAATTGACTCAGCAATAGAGTCCCCAATACTCCGCGTAAATGCCGTTCCAGGATACATTCCATTCTGTACCCACAATCTCGGAGGATCACCGTCATCATCTTCCTCAGTTCCCCAACATTGCACATCTGGGTTTTTCAAACCCTCGATCTGATCCAATGTCAGAACCCTAGCTCCGCAGTTCTTAACCCTTTCAAGCTCATCACTCCTGAAAGGAGTCTGATCAATAGACAGATCTACTGCCACAATCTCCTGCCCTCTCCTCTCGGCAATCACAGCCCTGGAATCGCCGGTGTTTGCAACATAAATTTTCCTTCCGCGTACCAATATTGTTATTGCAGTAGTCCCACTCATGGTGTCATCCAACATGCTGTCAGCATGCAGCTGTGAATTAGTCAACAAGAATGCAGAATGGCAAGTCTCAATTGGATCTGTTTGAAGTCGACTATTTCTCAGTAGATTTTCACATAATTTCCGCTTAACAAACTGTGAGCACTGAGCCCCATATTCTCCGTGCCCATCAAATACACCAAAGAAGTGATCATCCGGGTTATTTCCAAATGGGGTGTGAATGCAAAAGCTATCTTGGTTCGGCTTGTCCAATGCCTCAGGATAATATCCTCTCTGTGAGAGGTAAGAGTAGCTCAAATCATAGTTTCCTAGCGGAACCCTAACTGTTCTTGAACCCTCAGGGGGAAGAAATTGTGACGAGACCCTTGACAACCGATTGATGCCAGCATCTGAGTCCCTAGTTACATTCAGTTGATGCAACCGATCATCTTCTTCTCCTTCCCCGTCAGAAGAAACAGAAGAAATGGCAGAATCACCCACAACTGCACTCAATCCAGTTTTCTTCGGCCTAGATTCTCTAGGCGAGTCCAGTACCTCCCCGAAACAGCCCTTTGAATATAAACACCCCATCAGCTTATTAACCCAATGGAGGCCAATGGAAATTGCAGAAGCGCAAGAGGATTCATAAGTCTCCGCCTCCACAATCTAACAGCATTTAGCAACAACAAGCTATCAAATTCAAATCCCCCTCATAAAATTTGATTCAGAAATTATAAAGGCCCAACATCAGCAAGCCGTAAGATATTAACAATTTCAATAGTCCCAATGAACTGCAAATTCGTTCGATTCCCGCTCCAATTTCAGCAATATATACCAATTCTAACAAATGGCTACTCACCCGTCTCGTCCTCTCACTCCATCCCAACCCAGCAAGTAAAAAAGAAGTGGACGTTAAATATTGAAGAAAACGAACACTTACAATCGGAAAAAAGATGGAATCTTTTGGATCCCAAGCTTGTCGACAGAGGAACCCAGATCACAGATTGAACAGAGAGCAAAGAGACGCATAAATTCTCGTACCTTGAAACAGTAACTGCGCAAAAGATTATGCTCTGAAGGAGTTATTGCTCATTGTCCACTCCTGAACTCGATGGCCTTATCATCATGAAATAGCTTCTGAGCCGTTGGATTCGTGACGGTGTCATCCACTATGAACAGAGAGAGAAAGAGTTTAGAGACAAAGGAAAAGCTTTTTTTTTTCTTTTCTTTTTTTACCCTGACACCTATCATTCCGTGTGGCTTCCCCTTTTCTAAGACAAGTCTTTTTTTCGTTGGTCGTTTTTGGTTTTAGATTGTGTCGTAAGAGTCATTCTTTTCAGTCCGAGTCCTTTTTCAAGATCGGGTTCATCTTTGATTGACTTGCAAGGAAATGGGCCCCTCTTGCAGAATGATAGCAATAATATTCCCCTTGGATCATTCCCTTGAATCTTGAATGATATGAAGTTATGTACGCTAGCCATCTCTCTTTCATATATGAAGAGAAATTGGTGGCGCTCCTAGAGTGATAAATTTTTTTTGACATGTATCGGTATGAAAGACTAGCATGTGTCACATCATAAGTATATATGTGTTCATTTATCCTATTAGAAAATAGCATGTGGACATCTAGTTGCATATTCACCTTAAGAATGCTCATCAAATTAAACTATCCATAATTAGAAAATTCTAATAGTTAAATATTTTGTAAACCTATCAGATTTTAACTATCTACAATTTAAAAAAAAATCTCATAGTCCTATATTTAATATAGAAATTAAAGAAAAAACATGTATAGAGAGCCTCTTTACCTATAATCGGGTAAATTTTAGAAAATCCCCACCCCCAAACTATCCTCCCCACCCCCCACGCCACCCAACTATTTGAATTTGAGAAAAATCCTTCTCAAGTTTGAGCATATTGTAGATAACCCTTTCAACTATAAAAATTTGAGATAACCCTTTGAACTATTATCACTTAACCCTCCTAAAATATGGTGTGTGTCTCACAATAACACAATAACATCCCCCCAAACCCCCGAACTATTTTAATTTGTGTAACTCCCTCAAGTTTAAGCTTATCGTTGGTAACTTCTCCTCAAGTTTGAAAATTTAGAGACCTCACTGAACTCTTCTCAGTTCACATCCTGAAAAGCTAATATCGTTAGGTCTAGCATGTCATGTGACAAGTAGGTGACTAGGAAAAGACCAAAATATCCCTAAAAAAAATACTTTGATTTTTTTAGGATAAGAGAGAAAGAAGAAAGAGGGGGAATATATTATAAATTGATTAAGATCTTTTTTTACCGATTAGGGATTATTTTATAGCTTAATGGGTTGATTTTCAAAAGGATGTTTCAGATATTTTACATTTTGAAATGACATTAGAGGGCCGGTCTGGATGAAAAAGGTGTTGGATTTTTGTGTGTGTTGTGTGTGATGGGGGTGGGGTGCTCGGTGGGGAGGGGGGGCGGTTAGCGAGGACAACCGATAGTTAATAGAGGCTTTTTCTAATTTTCAAAGTTGATTGAGTCATTATTTATTTTTAATACGCCTAAACTTGAGGGATTTTTCAAAATTAAATAGTTGAATGTAGGTTTCTGAGACATCCATTATAGTTTTTTTTTGGGGGGGTTGGGAGGATGGTGAAAGGTACCCTAGAGGGGGGGGGTTGAATAGGGTAAAGCTAATCTAATCCGATTATGATACCAAATTAAAACTTATAAGGTAATATCCTAGCAATATGATATACAAAAAATATGCAAGAATAAGCAATGAGACAATAGGTGATATAAACAACAAGCATAAAATGTAAAGAATAATAGTGCGTTAAAAACAATCACAAACACAAGATATTATCATAGAGTCCTGTCAACCCTTGATCTACGTCTCCGTTCCTCACCTTGAGGAGATCTCCACTATCAATCAAAAACTACACAAAACGGTTTTCAAAGTTCACTGATAACTTTTACAATACACACGATATCAATCACACAAACCACACTTCTCTAAGTGTTGGACTACCCATGTCAACTACCTCAAGTGTTTGGAATTACAACATCTCCCTAGGATTTATAACCAAACCACTCTTCTTGGTATTAACATCGGTCTCTCCTAACCAATCCTCTAAGTGTCCTTGTGTATTACAACGTGTTTAAACAATAAGTGTGAATAAAGGATTTTGTTCTCTAAATAGATGAGAACGAAATATATGTCTCTCTTAATAAAACACTCTCACAACCCAATTATACTTAATATGAAATACTAAAACTCAAGTAGTTGTGTGTGTAAACAATGAGTAAAATAAAATCAAACTCAAATAAATCTAGCTTATATGTAAGGACCATGAGTTTTGATACTAGTTAAAATAATTTTCTAGTATTTTAAAATATTTAGTTATGATTTTTAAAAGAGTATTTATATTTTTCTCGAATTTCTACAATTTTCTATGATTTAAAGTCTAAGTTTTATATTTATTTAAATAATTTAAATATTTATAAATTTATTTAGTGCAGTAATTTTTTTTAAAATTTATCCGTTGAGTTACCGATACTATTACGTATCATTTTGGATAATATGCAGTATTATTATTATTATTACACATATTTTTGTATAATACTTGTATTATTAATTACGTATTATTTGCATAATTTGTTGTATTATTTTTACTGCTGCGTATTACCTGTCGTATTAGCATAACTGGTACGTTTTATCACGTAGATAATTATCATATAATTATTTGATTTTAAATATAAGTAATTATTTTTTATTTAATTATTCTTGTTTAATTATGTAATTTCTTGCATTATTTTCACTGTTGTGTATTATCAGTTGTAATACTACAACTAGTACGTTTTAATATGTAGATAATTTTCATATATTTATTTAAATTTTTTCATAATTATTGTTATTTTTAATTAAATTTTCAAAATAACATCTCTCCCCTCTCCTTATCCCTCTTCTCTGTTCGCACACGCCACCAACCACCACCCGCGCCTCCTCACGCCGCGAGCACGTCCACCTCCCCCATCCCCTCTCTATCTCCCTCTCTCTCCTCTCTCCTGTTAGACCCTAGAGGGGGGGGTGATTAGGGTCTTATGCTAATCTAATCCTGATTAAATGCCAATTAAAACTAATTAATAAGTTATCCTAACAAGTATGAAATACAACAAGATATATGAGCTAGGATAAGCAAAAAGAACAAATGAATATATCCTAGCAAGATATTACAAATATATAAGCAAGAATGTATAAACTAACACAATGGTAAAATAAACAATCTACAAAAGAAATAGGGCAATATGAAGAGCAATACACAAAGGCGATATAAGATATGAATACAAGAATAAGAACGCCAATGCAATCACAAACAAAACGATATGATCACGGAGTTTGGTCTAATCACTTGACCTACGTTTCCGCTCCTCACCTCGAGGAGATCTCCACTATCACAACAACCGGGTTTTCTACGCTTACCCGAACAACATTTACACCACACAATAGGGTTTTCTAGTTTACCGAAAACTCTACAACTAGCACACTCTTGTAATCTCACTCTACACCCTCTCAAGTGTTGAACTAGACGTGTCTCCCTCAAGTGCTCGGATACAACCTCTCCCTAGGTTCGTCAACCGACGCCACTCCTCTTGGGACGATCCCCGACTCTCGCCACACACTTCTCTCGGTGTACAAGTGTATTACAAAGTGAATCTCACAATAAGCATAATACAAAGTGTTTGTTCTCTACAATGGATGAGAACGAATTATAAGCTCACTCTCTAAGTTACACAAACCCACAACCCAATTATACTATGAATGTAAATACAATAAGCTTAATGGTTGTGTGTGTGTAAACAAAGAGAAAATAAAATCAACTAAACTCAATATGAACACTAGCTTAATAAAGTGATAATCAAACAATATAAAATATAAAGCTAGATTGAGTTTAGAAAACTTCTCAATAGATTAAGAGGTAGAGGGAGAATAATTGGATGCTCAAACACCAATAGATGATCTCCTCAAGCTCTTGTAGAATTGATTTCACAAACTTAAACTTCCAAATGCTTAAAAGCTTCTTAAACAAACGTAAACCAAACTCAAACTCTTGTTTAAAACTCTTTAAACTTGTTTTTAAAACATTCTCTTGGTTGCCCAGATAGAAGGGGTTTGAGGGTTTATATAGGAAGAGAAAACAACAGCAAAAACCCCAAACTAAATCTCACAAAATCCCAGAAATTAGATTTTCTGATTTTGTACAAAAAGAGTTGTTGGGCATACGGTGGTCGACCGTGGAAAACTCACGGTCGACCGCGAGGGATGTTAGAGACTGAGAAACTTTCCAGAAACATCTACGGTCGACAGTGGCGGTCGACCGTGGGAATTTTCAGCTTGACGGTCGATCGTGGCGGTCAACCATGAAAGTTACTGCTGCCCACTCAGGAAAAGAACCAGGCACGGTCGACCGTGGCGGTCGACCGTGAACTGATATATGAAAATACATGTATTAAAAGCAGTTTGATGATTTTGAAACCCTGTTTAAAAATATCAAATAAATTCAGAAAAATGTAAAACTTTAGGAAATGATTGTAGACATGATAATACACATGCTACAAAATCTGGTTTTCAGAAAGGACCTCCCAAATAAGAAATATCATCATTTTTCAAATATGTTCAAAAACATGAAAACCTGAAAATTGATATTTTGATATTTTGGCTTAAACAACATTTTAAAACATTACAAAATGATTTTATAGACTTGAAAAAAGATGTAAACTATTGTTATAAAGTCTATAAACAATGAATATAGTATTTTATCAAAAATACATAGAAACCAAAAACATATATGTATATATATAAACTATATATATATATATATACAAAACCAAAACGTGTATGTGTATATATGATTGAGCTTAAGGTACTAACACACATAATATAAACCTAAACTAAATTTACCCAAGCTTGTGATCTTCAACGAAGCTCTATCTTGGTACACTTACGGATGAAGCGGGAACTTGAATCTTTAACTTGAATTGCATGACTTCACTCCATAATTCCACCAACCTCCATTGGATATGATCATGAATGCTCGATTTTATCCATCCTCTAACAAATTGTTTGTCTATAATAAATAAGAAAACACGAATACTAGACAAACAACATTTGATGTAAATTGTTTGTAAATCATCATCAAAACAAGAAGGCCAACATCTTCCATACACTCAAAATCCACCACGCCGCCACCCCCTGACTCCTGCCTGAGCCGCGCCCACCCCGCTGCTCCTCCTCCGCGTCCACCTTC